ATTACAGCTGACCATGATATCCTCCCATTCCCATTAGAGGTTTCCCCATCATAACACCCCCAAGGCATAATTAGATGACCTATGATATCCCACATTCATAAACTCACATTATCCCGCAAACAAAATATGTATGCATGGACTGAATACACACATTACAACAACACAATATGCATAACTCATCTTCTCGAGTGTCAGTCTGCAACATTGGACTTATTTAGCAATGTCAAAAAAATATGTACCTACGAGTATCCATGGATAAAATTCGCAATAGATAAAAAATGAATATTGTAAATAGATATCTGTGGGTAACAAATACATATTTTTTTATACATGTACTTGCTAATATTCAATTTATTTGGACTTGTATAAATTTAATTTTATTTGGACTTTGTTTGGACTTATAGTAGTTAAGTATTATACTTTATTATCTTTTATTTTAATTTATGTGTAATTGAAATATTTTATTTTATTGGATTTTGGTCTAGTCCCTCGAAGCACTTTGTTTTTCTTTCTTCTTTTTAATATATTCAAGTGTGCTACAAATTAAGGGTAGGATTTAAGGTGTCAACGTTGTTGGAACGTTGCTGGAATCTCTTGGTCTTATAGTGATGTTTTGTATGCCTGATCTTATATATAAAAAATTATTTTAACAATTATTAATTGTTTGAACTTTAAGTTTATGTGATTGGACATTTACAGTTTAGTTTCTAAATCCACTTATTGTTATTAGTATAATTGTGAACAATATTTGAATTTTAATTTTACAATCTTCAAACTTTTTTATGTGGATTTTATTTGAGTTTTAGTTATAATCTTCAAACTTTTTATGCATATTTTATTTGTATATTTTTATAACTTTTAAAATAAAAAATTGTTACAAATAACTAAAATGCATGGTTAAAATATTTTGTTCAATATTTTTAAAATATATTTTTTTAGTAAATATCCACAAGTACCCGCAAATATCTACGGATATTGAAAAAATATATTGGTATCCGCTTAACGAATATTCACATGAATATGGAAACGGATATTTATCCAACAAGGAAGGTAGTGGGGGATACTACCTGTACCTATCCCACCCTGTTTACATCCCTAAACTTATTCATCTCATCTCATCATAGTACTCATCATAATGAGTCATCACATTTAGACATTTCATCCTTTCACATTTATCACAATATACATCATCACATCTCAACAATTCAATAAAACAACTCATCATACAATGTCATCATATTAGCTTATCAAACTTCATTATTTAGGCAATTATTTACATAATAATAATCATTAAGTTATTCTCTTAGTTCTTAGTCTTAATTTTTTCTCTTAGTTCCTTAATTATCAAGTAGAAACAACATCATAAGGGAAAAATAACATGGTCCAAAACAAAAGTTAAAAATTATAATATTTCAATATCACTAGTCTAAACAAAAGAAATTTAAGTAATGTCATATTTTCATTAACACATGATATATATTTTAACAAAGAAATTTAAGTAATTTTATTATAATGGGTATCTTTATCTCCATTTATTATCCGTTGCGAATTTTATTCGTGGATATCCGAGGGCACAAATTGTTTTTATCATCCCTAGTCACCATTATCACTAGCTTCTTTGTATGCATATATATTACAAGTTGGTATATCAACCACTCTCCAAAGACAATAATAATAGCCGATGTGGAATTTTATGCCTTTCATAATACTTCATATTTACAATATTATCTTACCTCAAATTTGATCTCATATGCAAAATGTGTGATCTCGTGTCTCAAAACCTTACTTTTCAAGGTTCTCCTTTGCATTTGACCCTAAACCCAACAACACATACTAACACACTAACCTATATTTATTTTATTATATAAAATAACTCTTATTTATTTTAAAAGTTCAATTAACTAAATTAGTTAAGCAATTAAAATAAATTATGTTCTCACCTGAAGTCAGTCTAGGGATGACCTTTTGATGAGATCGGCGAGTCTCCCTTGCTTGGCACGTCTGTCACTCCGAGGTAGGGGTTGTACCTGCAAAAGAGACTCCGAAGTTTAAGTTAGTTCCTATGGGTGTATGGGTCTCGTATATATATAGTGCACATAACTTAATGTGAATTAGGGTTTTTCCCCTTAGGTGGGAGTAGGGTTGATTTCGGCCCAAGGTTGGCTACGGCCCATCAAGTCATGGGCTCGCGCGTAGGACTGATGTTAGTGTGATTGGGGCCGAGCTGGACTTCGGTATCCGATGTGGGTAGTACAAATTACATATTGAACAACCACTACAAAAAAAAATGTATTTTAACATTAGAAAAATGTTGCTAATATATTTTTATGATATTTTATCAAATATAAGATAAAACCTATTTTACTAAATACTTTTAACAATATTTTACATATTAGCAACAAAACTTTTAAATTTTTTAGGCTTTTTGACCACAGTGGGGCTGTTCTAAAAATATATTATGCAAATGGGGCTGTTTTGTAACTAATTATACTTTTGGGGTTGTTTACAACGGTGTCGCTATGCCCCATAGCGACACTCATGACACGTAACAAATTTTTTTTTGGTCTAGGTTGGGCTTACATCAGTGTCGCTATAGGCTAGGCCAGCACAATTGATGGACTAACAAAAACAATGTAGCTCATAACGATACTCTGTAAGAAAAAAATAAAAAAATCAAAATAATAGAAATGTAAAATAAAAATAATAAACTAAGTTATTTATTATATATATTTATAAAAATAAAATTAAGTTTTTTAAAAATGTAATTTTAAATTAAATTATATGTATTTTTTAAAAGAGGCGCTATGGGTCATAGCAACATGGTGTCGCTATGGGCCATAGCGCCAAGCATTTTGTATTTTTTTCCAAATAATCACGTTTTATTTTTAATTTTTAATTTTTATATTTTTAATTAAAAGTACACAAACTAAATAATTTAAATAAAATTATATTATAATATGTTAAATTTTAAAAAAACTGTGGAAAAAATAAGTAAATAAAATAAAAACGAAAAAACTGGAAAAATAGGTGTCGCTATGAGCAGCGACACCATTTATTAATTAATTTTTAAATATTAAATAGGTGTCGCTATGGGCAGCGACACCATTTATTATTTATTTTTTAAATATTAACATTTCATTTAAAACACTTAATTTATATATTTTTAATTAAATATTTATAGAAATAAACAAATTTTATTAAATTTAAATTATCAGTATTTTGTTTAATATAATTAAATATATATTTTCAGTAATTTGTTAATAAATTTAAATAAAAATAATTAATTGTGTAGTTTAAAGAAAAGTTATTGTTTAAGTGTATTAATAATTTATTTATATATTAATTAAAAAAATTGGGCCAAAAAAACGTAATTGAAAAAAAAATTAAAAACTGGTGTCGTTATGGGCAGCGACACCATTTTTGTTTTTTTTTTAATTTATAAATATTTACATTTTATTTTAATTTTTTGAAATTTGTTTATTTATATATTTGTTTAATATAAATTTTATTTTATATATATTTATAGTTCAGTTAATTTATTTTGTTTTTATGTATTAAATAGTTAAAAAAGTGGCGCTATGGCCTATAGCGATACAATGTCACTATAGGCTATAACGACCTTATTTTGTCTTTTTTTTTAGAAAAATTATTTACTTATATTATATAAATTAATTATAATATATATTTCATTAATTGTTTTTTACCGTTTCATATTGAATATATTTTCATGTTTTAAATTTTTTTTTGAATTAATTGAAAAAAAAACATATAGAGAAATAAGTATAAAATTTATATTAGAAAATTAAAAAAAAAAGATGTCGCTATGGCCCATAGCGACATTATGTCGCTATGACCCATAGCGCCTATTACAGTATATATACCCCTCTCGGCAGTCACGTTTTGTGCACATTTTAAATCATCATTTGAAATCTTATATACCCCTCCTACCAGTTACATTTTGCTCTGATTGAAATTTGAGTAAAATTTTATTGTTCTTAAAATATAAATTGTAGCTATTTGTACTAATTTTTTTTTATTTTTTTACAGATATTATGGATCAAATTATTGTTTATATTTACACTAGAAAGATGTATGAAGGTCTTGAAGGTGTAACATTTGATGGACCAAGAAAAGGAATGTATATTAAACGAGGTATAACTTTTGATATATTAAAGAGAAGGATTCACAACAAATTTGGTCTTAAGTCAAATCAAGTGATATTATCTGTAAGTCACAGATTTTTAGTTTCACAAGATGATAACAACATATATTCTTCATTGGAATTGAGTGACGATGATGATGTACAATGCATGATAGAAGCATTTCAGAGCCAGAATGTGATGCCAATAATGGAATTATATGCTGAAATAGGTATGCAAGAATCTTCAACTTTTTCATTAGAAAATTTATCAATTGAACGATCACCTTTGATCACAAGAGACGGAGACGAAGATGGAGATGATGAAGCAGATGAAGTCTATCATGTTTCATTATCATATGAAAGCATTGATGAATCCAATGAAGATGAAATTAATGATTGTGAACCATCTGATAATGAGGTGAAGCCGGATGTTATTGTTAATAGTCCAATGGTTGAACCAATTTCAATTTATCCATCTACTGAAGGTAACATCTGTAAATTAAAATTGTCAATAATTTGTTATTTGTTTAAAATAAATTGTTGAAATTGATTTTATTGAAATTACTAAATCATTATTATTAAAATAGGTGGAAGTCAATTTTGGGGTATTTTACCCCACTACACTAACATCAATTGGAATCATCCAGATGAAGAAGATATCCCAGGGATGGATCTGCGTAATACTTGGTCAATTGGCCAAGATTTATATGTGGGGTTGGAGTTTGAGAATAAAGATGCGGTTAAAAATGAAGTAAAGCAAAATGCAATGAGAATGCATCAAAGTTTTTATGTGGTTGAGTCGAAAAAGACCTAGTGGGTTGTTAGATGTCCAAATGCACATGATGGATGTGCATGGTACATGAGAGCCATTGAGTCAAAGAAATCTAATAAGTGGAAAGTGACTCAGTGGGATGGACGTCATACGTGTTTGAACATGTCTTTGTCACAAGATCATGCTAAGTTAGATTCTGAGTTAATTGCATCATTTATACAAGGTAAGTTCTGCAAAGTTTATAGTTTATATTAATAATAATTTATCTTACTGATTACTAATATTTAATATGTAGGAATGGTTAACCAAGATCTAGCAATCAAGATTAGCCTTATCCAAGAGAGAATAACATCTCAAACTGGGTTTAAAATATCTTATAGAAAGGCTTGGATGGCAAAACAAAAAACAATTGTTAATATTTTTGGAGATTGGGAAGAATCGTATGCTTATTTACCTCGATGGCTCCAATACATGAAAGAAATTGCTCCAGGGTCATTTTATGATCTGTGTCATGATGAGTTTTTTGTTGGTAATCGTTGTGATCGTGGTTACCGTCAATTTCACAGATTATTCTGGACATTCAAGCCGTGTTGTGATGCCTTTAATTTTTGTAAACCCTTGATACAAGTTGATGGCACTCATCTATATGGCAAGTACCGAGGTACATTGCTCATTGCTACAACACAAGATGGTAATAACAACGTTCTTCCTCTTGCATTTGTTGTGGTTGAAGGAGAAACATTACTTGCGTGGTCGTGGTTCTTGTCTCATTTGCGGTTACATGTTACAAATAAAGAAGGAATATGTTTAATATCTGATCGACATCGTAGCATTAAATCGACCATTGACAATGAGGCAATTGGTTGGAGACCGCCAAATGCATATCACAAGTACTGCATTAGGCACATTACAAGTAATTTTAATACTCGATTCAAGGATGTGAAACTAAAACAAAAGCTTGTGAAGTTAGGTACGTATTGTTATTTTAAATTTTTGAATCATTTCAAAATCTTTATTGTGAATTATTTATAATTTGTATGCGGGGTATACACCGTGTAAACACATTTTTGATCGTAATTTTCAAAAGTTTTGTGAATCTAGCCCTGATGTTGAAAGGTGGATATGAGGGATATCAAAAGACAAATGGAGCATGGCATATGATGTAGATGGTTGAAGATATGGTCACATGACAACAAATTTGTCTGAATGTGTGAACAAGGTTTTAAAGGATTGTAGAAATCTCCCTATCACTGCATTAGTTCGATCGACTTATACTAGGTGCGCTGAGTATTTTAGTAATCGTGGTAGTCGTGCTTTAGCCGATGTTTCATCTGGGAAAGTTTTCGTTTCAAAGTTGGTTGAAGCTTTGCAAAAAAATCAAGAAGAGGCTTGTTCCCACCAAGTTTGTAGATATGACATTCAATCTTCAAAATTTGAGGTTGAAGAGACATTTGATCCAATAACACAAACAGGAGGGAAGAAATGGGTAGTAAATTTAAAGGAACGATACTGTCAATGCAGAAAGTTTACAGCATTTCATTATCTTTGTTCTCATGTTATAGTTGCATGTGGTGTTGTTAACATTGATTACTACCAATTTATAGATCCTGTTTATACTAGTGATTATGTTTTAAAAGCGTACTCTGGTCCGTGAGAACCAATCGGAAATGAAGACTTAATCCCTCCAAGTAATGAGGATTGGATACTTGTCCCAGATCCAACATCTGTGCGCGGGAAAGGGAGACCAAAATCCAGAAGAATTAGAAACGAAATGGATTGGGTTGAAAGCTCACAACGACGACCAAAATGTAGCATATGCAAACAAGAAGGTCACAACAGGCGCAATTGTCCATCTAAGTCTAATAATCAGTCTATAAGTTTTGAGGATGTTTAGCATTTTTTAAAGATAATGTAATTACTAATGTGTATTCATGATGGTCATTGTAAAAGATAATGTAATTACTATTGTCTATTCATAATTATACAATGTCTACTGATCATCGTCTTCCTGATCTTCCTCATAATCTTCTACTTGTCGCTGGTCGTCATGATGATGCCCTCTAACAATACCAGGAGTTAGAATACATCGTCGTGGTCTTTCCCTTGCAGCCCTTTGAGGATTTCTTCGAACACGTAATTGTTCTGGCTGTGATGGTGGATGACTAGCCTCCGCAGAAAATTGTGGATGCAAATCAACACCTGCAACGTCAAATTTAACACAAATTATAAATATTCATAATAATTATAAGAAGAAAAGAATAACAAAATAATAAAATATGATACGACCTGATGTATAAGTACGACTGATATAATCATGATCATATGGAATATGAAAAGGTGCTTCCTGACTCTGTTGTGTGGCATCCTATGGCAGACTTGGTTGTGGAGTTATTAAAGAGGATTCTCCAAAAATATGATCCATCATTTCTGATGATATACCGGGTTCTAGTGATGAGTCTAAACCAAGTGACTCACATATATGTGTTGTTGTCATCGGAACTGATGTCTCAAAACCTGGTGGGCGTGGTGGTGTGTACCAATATGTATATTGGGATTGCGATGGATAACTGGGCTCTTGAGAAGGAATATAATATAACCCTGTTGCTCTGTCTGGCAAAGTAGGGTACATGTGATCCATCGCCTCAGTTGTCGTTCTTCGTCGAGATAATCCTGTAGCCTCCCTAGACTGTGGAGGAACATTGAAAGTCCCCAAGTCATATGAATCATAGGGAGGGGGTGCTTCCTCAGCTGGCTCAACGAAACGTGCAAGATAGTCCAACCTGTGGAGGAGTAGGTGCAAAGTGGTATGCATATCGATTGGCCCAATGCTCAAGTGCTAGACTTAATATTGTAGTCCAATCATCATCAGCCTTTCCCCGCAAGGTCAACGCATGCACATGAGCAGGAGTCATCGGAGGATTTGGAATTGGTTGTTGGCAACCAAATTGCCTCATCACCCTATCTGGCTGATGCCATTCACAAATACACAGAGAAAGTAACGGGATTACAGAATCCCAAATACGAATCCCCTGTGTGCAGTCCTCGGGCATCTGTTCAAAAGGCGAATATGGTTGCCAAATAATCTGTAAATAATTTTTTTTAATTAGTTTATATTAAAATACTAATAAGTTACATAATGAATTTTTAAAACCCCTAAAATTTGAATTACTTACAGATTTTCTAGTCAAACGGTCAAAGAATTTGCGATAAAATTTAATATCATCGCTCATACTTATTTTAGTGGATGTGTTGGACCACCTGAAATCAAAATGTAAACAATTAAATTCTCTAAAATTTATTGAATAATTATATAAATGTTAATATTTGAATTTGATCATACCTTAAACCAATAGGACTGCCTGGAGGAATAGGTGAGAATGGTGAAGAGAGAATGCTTGGGAATCATTCCCATGCCCATAACTGCAATAAAAGTGTAAACCCACCACAACTAGGCGTTTTGTAATCAGTAGAGGTGCATAAATTGCGATACAAACATCCAAGCACAGCTGCACCCCATGCATATGTCTTAATAGTTTGAAAGTCACCTAAAAACGCTAACCACCTTAATGAGACATAGCTTGAAAATCTATCAGGAACAAGAAGTCCTCCTAGAGAATGTAGTATCCAAGCTCTAGCATAAGGAAGCAACTGATGTAGCTCATTTATGTCATCTGCAATGTCATTAAAGTTTGTCGCCAACCAAGATAACTTAACGCAATGTCCTTTAATTTCTGACTGAGGTGGAACAACACCTAAAAAATCATGAGCTGCATAAAATAAAATAAATTATTTACTGATTATTAATATTATAAAAGGCAATTAGTATAACAAAAAAAAACTTAAAGTATAGTTATTTTAGTACCTAATCCCAATATATTAGCACTGTCTCGACTTAACACTGGTTCACCATCAACTGGAAGACCAACAAGCATACCAACATCTTGAAGAGTAATTGTGCATTCTCTGAATGGCATGTGAAATGTGTGTGTTTCTGGTCTCCATCGTTCTACCAAAGCAGTTAACAAACCAGGACTAACTTTGATATAACTCAAACGAGCAATTCATCCAAATCCTGTTGGTTCTAATAACGGAACTATTTGATGTGGAACTCCCTCAATTCCATTGCGCGTTGGAGCAGCACGTCGTGCTATTAATTTCCTATCATCTTCTCTATTCCAAACATGTTGTAAAACATGTATATTTTGCAATGTCAATAAATCATCCTCAATGGGTCCACATGTCACACACATAGCTGTAGAAGATGATGACATCTATAACAAAATATAACAACACATTATTTCATACATTATATAAAATATAAATAAACTAATATAAAAAATTGTAATATAACACTAACAACCTTAAAATTTTTTTATATATATAATTAAAAACATTATATAAATATAACTAAATTATACAAAATCAATTTTAAAAAAAATTTAAATTAATTTATATATTAAATAAATAAATCAAAATGATATAGCCTATACCAACTTTAGAATCATTACAAGAATAAAATATAAATATAACTAAATTATACAAAATCAATTTTAAAAAAAATTTAAATTAATTTATATATTAAATAAATAAATCAAAATGATATAGCCTATACCAACTTTAGAATCATTACAAGAATAAAATATAAATATAACTAAATAAATTACACAGAATTAAATTTAATAATTTAAATTTTAAATAAATTTTTTAAAAAAACAATTTATTTAAAATGGTATAGGCTATAGCGACTTCACAAACAAAAAAAAAATACTCATAATTAAATAATTACACAGAATGAAATTATAAAATCTAAAATTTAAATAAAGTCAGTTTTTATATAATTTATTTAAAATGATATAGTCATAACGACTTTATAATAATTATAGAAAAAATATATAAATATAACTAATTAAATTACACTAACTAAAAAAATAAATATAATTAATTAAATTACAGAAACTAATAAAACAGAAAATACCTCAAACACAAAATATCTCTAGGGCTATGCGGAAGTCCAAAAAAACAAAATTAACCTGAAATAATAATTAAAATATATATAAGTTACAAAAAATTTAAAAATAACAAAATAATTTATAATTAAATTAAAGACAGAAAAAAAAATTTGCTTACCTGATGGTGATTCTCGGAGGCAATGGGTGAAACAAATGGGGGGACCATCTCAAGGTTAAAATCCCTTATATAGGGGTATTTTTTTTTTACTGTTAAACACCACGTGTCAATTACTATTGCTTAAATTTGCGGTAATTTGACACGTGGCTAGTGTCATCAATTTTTCAACCACCACAGTGTCGCTATGGGCTATAGCGACACAGTGTCGCTATAGGCCATAGCGCCACTATTTTTGACCTTTTATTTTTTTTAAAATTATTAACTAAATTAATTTTTTTCACATTTTAATTTTGTTTATGAATTTTATATAAATCTATATTTATATATTTATGTTTTCTATTTTTTCTTTATGTTTTATATATATATTTTTTGTTTTTAAGTATTTTATTTTTTAAACGAGTGGTGCTATGGCCTATAGCGACACTGTGTCGCTATAGACCATAGCGCCACTATTTTTGACGTTTTATTTTTTTAAAAATTATTAACTAAATTAATTTTTCCCAAATTTTAATTTATTTTATGAATATCATATAAATCTATATTTATATATTTATCTTTTCTGTTTTTTCTTTATGTTATATATATTTTTTTATTCCTTTTTATGTTTTTTAATTTTTAAACGGGTGGCGTTATGCCCTAACACTGTGTCGCTATAAGCCATAGCGCCACTATTTTTGACGTTTTTTTATTTAAATTATTAACTAAATTAATTTTTCCCAAAATTTAATTTATTTTATGAATATCATATAAATCTATATTTATATATTTATCTTTTCTATTTTTTCTTTATTTTATATTTTTTTTTCTTCTATTTATGTTTTTTAATTTTTAAATAGGTGGCACTATGGCCTATAGCGACACAATGTCGCTATAGGCCATAGCGTCACTTTCACAAATTCTTTTTTTTTATTTTAATTATTTACTTATATTTTTTTAAAACAGTTTTTTTTTATATTAAATATGTAGCGTTGTAGGCTATAGCGACTTTATTGAAGTTGTTTTGTGTCGCTATAAGTTGTAACGACATTATCAATATGGCTTTCATGGCTTCCTTGGAGTTACAAAAATGCCACTTGTCACCGGTGTCGCTATGGGCCATAGCGACACCGTTAAAAAGTGCCCCAAAGGTGTATATTGTTTAAAAACTGCCCCATTTACGTAAATAATTTGAGGAATTGCCCCAATATGGTCAATCAGCCAATTTTTTACTGATGTGGTATTTTGCAAGATTTTAATAATGTTGCAAAGTTTTTGTAAACTTTATAAAATGATAATTAGTATTAATATAGATTGTACTATCACTTATATTTTATAATTTTTGTCTATAAGTCCTTTAAGGTTGAAGATATCTTTTTTTTTACTAGAGAAAATAGTTTAACTTAGTCATCACTACATCTAGATCACATATGAAAGTTCATTTATCTTAAGTATTACTCTATACATTAAATGTAGTAGTAAACTATATTATTTTCTTTTTAAAAATATCTCATTAAACAAACATCACGCAATTTAGCTAATTGGATGCAATTCTCTAACATTTTTTTAACCATAATATTGGCACAAAGTATTCTTAACATGTATTTCTTTTGGAGCTTAATAATAAGAACAACTTGAAAAAGCTATAAATAGCCTTCAAGGATTAGAGTTATGTTACAATTGGATTTATGTAATTATCTTTTATAGAATACTTTATTTGATCTTTTATATAAGAAATAAATAAATAAATAATTAAAATCAATAAAAAAAATGTCAAGATGATTAATTTTTATTAATAATGTCATAAAATTAAATTAATTTTAAAAGTATCTTTTAAACTTAATGATTTAAATACTAATAGCATTAAATGACACTACACGCCTACATCAAATTTAAGAGATAACTTATTTCATCACATAATTTATAGTGTTAATACATGAATAAATACATTCACTTACATGTAGGTATAAAAAGAAACTAGTAATTAATATATTTTAAAATAGATACTTATTTCTTTTATACAAAGATGTGAGGGAGCATAAAGGATGTGAGGGAGCATAATACATGTATTCCCTTTTTAAGGATATATAATTTTTATCCCTTTCTCTACATTAGAACATTTATATACTTAATAATGAGCGCAAATTATTCAAAATTGATTAAAAAGAACTCGAAAGGAAACTTACTTAAACTATCTGGATGCTCATCTTATCGTTTCAAATATCCTGTATTCTAGGTTTGTATTTTGTCTTTCTATATTATTGCACATCTAAAAAGTGTATTAGGAATGGAGGAAAAGGATGGATCTTTATAAGTATAGTATAGTTATTGCTAATATTGAATATTGAAGTAAGTATGAATGCTAATGGAGTTTGACAAACTAGGAAAAATACTATTAAAATAGATTTTGTGGAAATATTAGAAAATAAAATTAAAAGAAAAATAGACAAAGACACTCTTTAAGAATAAAACATGAATAATCTCGTAATTTTCATATGTTATTTCATTTTTTTTAAATTATTAAATAAATTCTTTTTTAATTTGATTTAACCTATTGAATATTCAAGTGTTCACAATTTTATAATTATGTATTGAGTACTTAATTATTTTAAAATTCACCTAAATAAAAATATTTTAAAATATTTTTTCTAAGATATTGGATAGTCATATTTGTGGATTTATTTGTATATAATATAAAAAGAAGTGTTAACAATATTTTTTCCGACTCTTTTAACATTCACTTACAACAAATAAGGAGTGCCACTAATACTCCCCTTATTGATAAATATTAACACACTTGATCTAATACTCACTTGTTGATATTCTTTTTTATTATTAGTTGAAATTTGTTAAAAATTATAAATTTTGTAAATTTCCTATTTTATTTAATGAATCTTTATTCTAACTTAGTAATAGGATTCAATAAGACTTGTGATTTTTAACTAATAAAAAAAAAGTATTAAGATAGAGTTTCGGGATGAGTATAATTAACATTTCTCTATAATACAAAGAGTAGATGTATACATTAAAGTTAATGAGATTCCGTAGTATAATTGGTTAGAGAGGGTTGGTCTTATGACCCAAAGGGTGCACCTAGTTTGGCTAAAACCGAACTTAAATTTATAGTATTTTCATTCAATGATATAATTATGGTATTTCATTTTCAGAAACACAACTGGACATGACTACTACCTTCCCTCACCTTTCTCTAGACTCCTAAACTTCCAAAGAGATCAAACATCTGCTTCAGCGTGGTTGGGTTGTCACTACACTATTATAGAACCCTCTCTCTCTTTTTATGTGTTGCCTTTCAATGCACCACGTCTCTTATCATCACTACCCACCACTCTCTATCCTCTCCAAGCAAACTCCTTTTCTTCTCTCACCCTGGTATATGTCCCTTACCTTTATCATTGTACTTTCAGGTTCTTGCTTTGTTCATGAAATCTTGATGCTCCTTGGGTTTCGTTGTCTGTTGCATTGACATTGTAATGATTTTGTTGTTTGTTGTGCCACATGCTTTCAGTCAAAATATATAATCATGTCTGTGCATTGTTTGTTAATTGGGGTATATGAATACAGGGTCTTCTGGCTTTGAAATCAAACCCATATGTCACGACTTTACAATTATATGATTTGGATAGATTGTATGATACTATTATACTTGGTATTTGAAGAGCTATGTTGTGTGCACTATAAGATGGCATAATATTTTTTTTTTTCACTCATTTTACATCTGAATTTTGCATGAAAACTAGTTTTACTGCAATATATTTAATTTTCATTAACAAAGTTCATAAAAGTTGAAATCAAATTCTGAGATCTTAACACAAAATGAAAACTGATGGATAATGGAGCAAAATTTAGCAAATAGCAACTATCCTTCAAATTGACTACGATTCTTTTGGCTTATTTGTTACTTTGTTTTGATTGGAAGAATGTAGCCTAATGTTAAGAGAAATTGTACTTTTACATAAATTTTATACCAACAAAAAACCATACAAAAAAGAGTGAGATAGGATAGGAACTCAAGAGAGAACATCATAAGATGGTTAATATGATAGAGAGAAAATACAAAAAAAAATATTGTAGAAAATGTAATCTGATTTTACTGCATAATGAATACAATTCATATGGGAAATTGTCCTGTTGGTCTTTCTAACTGTCTACATGGTAAACATTTAACAAAGTCTATGATCTTCTATCTTCATTAATATACTCCATCATATAAATTTATACATGGGATTTACTAAAAACTGTTCGATCATTGCTTGTTATGCAGGTTTTCTGTTGGCTTTTTCCTATTCTTACCTTCTTGAGAAATAGGAATGGGTCCAAAGAAATGGTTCAAGATAATAGTTAAACTGAAGAAATCGAAGAACAAAAAAGAAAAGGTTATTTCTTTTCTTCCTCTTTTCGGTCCTCGCATTTCAAGTTTGCAAAGATGTTGATAGTTTTTGGAGAGGATTTCTCTGCTTCTCATTAGATATTCTTTCAGGATTTGATCTTTGTGAGATTTACTTGTTTTTCTTGTTCTCTTCACTTTTGATATTTCATTTGCTTTTGGAGTCAAACATATATTTTTCAAGTACAACAGACCACTGCTGAAAATTCAATTTATTTTTTTATTATAAAGAATTCAAATGAATACACCAACGGGAAGCAGAGTACTCGTGAAGAGTCAAGTAGCATTCCGAATGAAGGTTTGATGATGGACCGGACTGTTCCCGCCAGGTTGATGGACGATATCGCAGCAACTCGGATTCAAAATGCATTTCGATCATTTATGGTACATTATCTGCGTGCTGTTTATTCCATTACATGTTTAGACCACTTTTTTAGACCGACATTTCATTACTTTAATCTGACTCGTTCTCAATCTTCATTATGATGACCATTATGGTAACCAATTTTGCAAGGTTAGGAAATTTTGCCTCATTTTCTCCTTGCTCCACTGAATGAAAATTGTATTTTCTTGAAGTGGTGCCTTTTATATTTCCCAGAAATCATAGATAAGTCATATGTTGCTAATCAATTGTTAATATTCTTTTTCTCAACTTACTAAAGTGACATGGGTTATAATTTTGATTCACTATCAATCTAACAGTGTAAAATGTTCTACATTATCATTGAAACTTGTGGCGTCTGTTTTTAACTGAAAGTGAAAAACTTTAGACTTAATGACGTGATATTGAATGCTTTTTATTATATATATATATATA